TCAGGATAGCTTGTACAGAAAACACAAGTAAGATGTCAGGATAGTCTATACAGAACACACAAGTAAGATGTCAGGATAGTTTGTACAGAAAACACAAGTAAGATGTCAGGATAGTTTGTACAGAAAACACAAGTAAGATGTCAGGATAGTATGTTCAAAACACACAAGTAAGATGTCAGGATAGTATGTTCAAAACACACAAGTAAGATGTCAGGATAGTATGTTCAAAACACACAAGATGTCAGGATAGTATGTACAGAACACGCAAGTAAGGTGTCAGGATAGTATGTACAGAACACACAAGTAAGATGTCAGGATAGTTTGTACAGAAAACACAAGTAAGATGTCAGGATAGTCTGTACAGAACACACAAGTAAGATGTCAGTATAGTATGTACAGAACACACACAAGTAAGATGTCAGGATAGTATGTACAGAACACACAAGTAAGATGTCAGGATAGTTTGTACAGAAAACACAAGTAAGATGTCAGGATAGTCTGTACAGAACACACAAGTAAGATGTCAGGATAGTTTGTACAGAAAACACAAGTAAGATGTCAGGATAGTTTGTACGGAAAACACAAGTAAGATGTCAGGATAGTATGTTCAAAACACACAAGTAAGGTGTCAGTATAGTTTGTACAGAACACACAAGTAAGATGTCAGGATAGTATGTACAGAACACACAAGTAAGATGTCAGGATAGTTTGTACAGAACACACAAGTAAGATGTCAGGATAGTATGTACAGAACACACAAGTAAGATGTCAGGATAGTTTGTACAGAACACACAAGTAAGATGTCAGGATAGTCTGTACAGAACACACAAGTAAGATGTCAGGATAGTTTGTACGGAAAACACAAGTAAGATGTCAGGATAGTCTTTACAAAACACACAATTCCGATGTCAGGATGGTATTTAGGTACCGGAAATTTTGATCTCTTGAAATAGACCTTGGAGTTTTACTTGCAAATGAGAAACTTTAACTTTTACCATAAGCTGCCATTATGTAGTCTTGGAGAACTTACGACTAAGATCAAAAACGTCAGTTGGTTGTAAAATTTTGCAAACTAATTAATGATGCTAGGGTTAAAGTATCTTTAAAATGAAAAAAAAATCTATTTAATATAAATAAGAAAGTTATTAGCAAAATTAAGTTTTAAATCTGAGTCGTAAATTCTCGTTGAGCAGTGGAAACTGAAGTCACCTCGTTGGTCATGCAGGGTTTTTTGTTAGTTGGCCCTTATTGTCTTTTGTCAGTAAAACATGCAATAATATGTGGCAGACTCTGTGAGTTCATTGGGATACTAGTACATCAATTTGACATATCCGGTATGTGAATAAAACTAACACTGGTAAATGATAAAATCAGTATACATGTACATGTGTAGGAATGTCGATATGGTGGCCACTGTCAATGTTTTCTTCTCATGTAGAGGTTTTTGAATGAATTTCGCTTCAAACCGAAGTAATGTAAGAGGTCGGTTAATAGAATAAAATTAGGCTCCTCGGAATTCCAACCGGTTATTGAAAGACAAAAGCTTTATTTTTCCACTGCATCGGAGTTGGAGGGGATAAAGTAACGTTAACCCCTTGTGTGTGTGTGTTACTTTGTCCTTTGTGTGAAAAGGAAGTGACATAAATACATCGGTTCGATGTCAATTGCTGCGTCGATTTATACGAGTAGATGTACTCTTTTTTGTAGTATTGTTATTCCAAAATCACTTGTAACTGGGTTTAAATTTATCTCCAAACTTATTAGATGCTCTGAGGATATTCAATTTTTAAGCCGAGGTAGACTATTGACAAGGAAGTTATTGTGTCATCAACCTCATTTAAAGATCGTTTCATAAATTTTATGGTCGTTATAATCACCTCGTTGGCAAATAAAGTATGTCAATGAGTCTTTTTGACTGACATATTTTATACTATTATCAGACCATTGTTTTAATATCAATTTTAACCACTGATTATTCTCGTCTACCTGATCAATACATAGAGCTTGCGGCGGGTTTGACCTTTGACCGGGGATGCTTACCTGTCCTAGGCACCTTTTCATTCATTCATTCATTCTTTATTTCCACTATTACAGTGATTAATGAAAATTGAACAAACACACAGAAAAGAATATCACATATGAGATAAACAATGAATTGCATGCAAACACCACATATAAATATATATAGAAAAAAAATATATATATATATATATATTTACAATGTTTTAGATCACAAAATCATTTGGGATCATTACTTTATACACATGTATATATATATATGTCCTCGCGTGAAAAAAAATCTATAAATGAACTTTGAGAATAAGAAATAAAGGAGCTGGAAGCATCCCTCATTGACAGATTTGCAGTGCGGAAAGATTGCGCTTATAAAAGGCACACGCATCGACAACGCAGCGAAAGTTTCGTAATTGGAAGTTTCGGAGGTTGAAGGCGGATAGAATGGTGTTCGGCTTACGGCCTAGAAGAATCAAGAACAGCTCATCATCTGTAAGGGCACACAGTTCAACACACAGGTTAATGTCAAAGTAGTTAATTACATCCTCCCACCACTGATTGCGTATATCATATGTGATACGACACGTACAAGACGCATGGTTAAATAGATCAACGTACAGAGATCCACAAAGGGGACAAATTTCTGTAGTTTCTCGAGGAGATTCGGAGACTAATTTGCAAATGAATTTGCACAACGAAATCTCATAACAGTTTTGGGGTAGTCGCCAAAATAAAGCAGGATTTCCATCCTGAAATATTTTCCGGAAACGGACGAATCCAGGATCATCTGAAACACGTGTGTCTCTCCGGAGCTTATTATATCGAAAAGTAGCAGATCTCACAATTTGTTTCCAGGCAGGCTTTGAAGGGAATGAGGCACCTGTAAGCCACTCACTCACATACTGGCAAAGGTCGTAAGTACACAAAAGAATCAGAATATCCGGAATAAAACCTAGCTGTTTATGAGAGATCCCTGCCAAGTAAGAAAACAGTCTAGTTAAGAAGATTTTCTTCGACAGAGTTTTGTATTCCAGGCGACACAGACGACCAAAAAATAGAAGCTTCCTTGCATCAATCTCGGCTTGTATTGGAAGAACTTCAAAAAGGCTTTCACAAATGTCAGACCTTGTTTTTGTAGGTAGATTCTGGGCGTTTTTAACCACTAGATGTTGGAAGACATTCAAGCGATGTAAATCATTTGAGGCCATGCCATTCCATAATTCACATCCATAGAGTACCGATGGTAAGACAATTGATTTGTAGAGATGAGAAAGTGTTAAAGGGTTCAGGTATCGAGATCCAATATCATTCAGGGCGAAATACGAGTTTTTCCCCTTTCGACATGCAGAAATTATCCTATCTGAAAGATTGCACTTATCATTGATAAGAATACCGAGATGATTACAGTTGTCTAGGCAAGGAATGGTTTCGTTTCCCAAGAACCATACATAGTCGAAGTGTTCTCTGACATTTTTCGCACGGAATCTCAGAATGCAGGATTTTTGAGCATTGAACGTGAATCGCCATCTCCTGGAATATTCGAATGCAATGTTCAGCATTGTTTGAAGGGATGTAGGTGAAAGTCCTATGCATGCTAGATCATCTGCCAATGAGGGACAACTACACGATATTATATTAAGAATGCCCGAGTGATTGGATGATTTTTCTAGAATATTAATCAAATCGTTAATGTACACAAGATACAAGAATGTAGAAAGGACACCGCCTTGCCTAACGCCCTGCTGGACAGGAAACCACCTTGACTGAGTTTGATTAACTATAATAGCACTTGATGTATCAATGTGACAGTCCTTTAGTATAGACCAAAGTTTTCCTGTTACACCCAGTTCATACAATTTCAATAAAAGAGCATGTCTCCATACAGTGTCAAATGCCTTTGTACTATCTAAAAAACTAACATAAACATTGCTACCCTGTTCTATATTGTGAAAAATAGTTTCATGTAAGTTGAACGATGCCGTCAAACAACCTAGCTTCTGTTGAAAACCTTGCTGTTGGGGATTTGGAAATAATTTATCAACTAATACATGTTCAGAAATACGGGTATAAATTATGCTTTCAAAAATCTTTAAAAAGCATGACAATAAAGCGACTGGTCTGTAGCTATTGCACGAAGTTTTAGATTTATCCCCACCCTTGTATAACGGTACAACGAATCCCCGTTTCCATGCACAAGGTATCATCCCATGCAGCACAATAGCATTAAACATTTTCACAGTACAAGCAAAGGCACATTCGCCACCGAAAATAATGTGTTCATATGTAACTCGATCAGCACCAGGTGCTTTTCTGTACTTAAGCTTGCGAACGATGGGTGATAATTCTGTTACAGTGATTGGTCCACCGGGGATGTCGCCGCTATAATGATCACACAGTTTTTCAATGTCTGCATATTTCTCTTCAATTTGGCGATGGAAGTCTTGGTCAAATGCCACCGCTGGGATCTCCAGGGATCCGCGTTTAATATCCAGTTCACCTATTTCATTTTGAACAATTATTTTTTACGAGAAAGCAAGTTGGACAGGCATGGGCACTATCACTGAAAAATGTAATCTATTAATAATCGATTAATTAGAGGAATTTTGTGTAATCGATTAATAATCGATTACAGCCAGTTTTGTTCTGTAATCGATTGTAATCGATTACTTCAGACAATGTAATCGATTAATAATCGATTACTTTCAATTTTCTTCCACCTCAAATATCATAGCAGAAAATATATTTAAGCTCGGGCACTTGAACAGCCAACTTGTGCCATTAAGCAAGAAAACTTGAGACTTATAATAGCCTCGAAAATAATTTCTCGACATTCTACGAGACATTTAATGATTTGTACAAGGTTTGTACAAGGTTGACAAGTGTTTTGGTGATTTTTTCCAAACATAGAAAAAAAACCTTATTCAGCTGTTTGTTCATGAACGAGGCCAATTGAGATAAAAGGCCGCGCATCGCAAGCGGGATACGTATACGGATTTTAACAAAATCTGCCACTTGATCAAATGTCGATAAAGTGAACTATGAACAAGTATTCCAACCTAGGTCAGCGCAAGGCCAGTCACATTTATGTTTATATTGTCATTATTAAGGTTCCATTTGACTTTCATCAGCTCATGTGACTAAATAGCGACAGAAAAATTTTGACCAGTGAGGGTCGTTCGTATCAGTGTTTAAAACCGAAGACAAACAATTCACAGAAGATCATTGATCGTCAACCAGTCGTGTGTGAAATATCTTCCTATTAAAAAAAATGTCGTCCGGTGAGAGCAGAACGATTGTCATAGCGATGGACGGAAGTGAACATGCGGATTATGCCTTTCATTGTGAGTACAGTTAACAGTTCGATCATTGCCTACAGATATCATGGGCTACCTGTACACAGATTCTTCATTCTAATCAAAGACCAACTTGTATTACCAGTATATTACTTTAGTTTTTCATTACATTGCGATATATTACATATAACAATATTCAGTACCTGAACTAAAAACAGTAAAATATACATTTAAAATAAGTTTACAATGTAGAAGTAATCTGTAGAGCTCGCAATCAGTCATCAATACATATCAATGTATCATATATACAGAACAACTTGTAAGCAGTATAAGTTTTATCAATCAATAATTTATTTGAATCTCTTCACCATTTTACAATAGTATAGAGAGACTACAAAAACATATAGGTGATTTTATTGAAGCCATGTTATTATATACAGATATACATAAGTATAACAAACAAACGATGACTAATAAAAAGTTACACGTGACACGTTAAGAAAATGAGGCATTATTGCTGAGGTGTTGGGATGACAAACCAAACATCCGATCAAAAGAATATAAATATTCATGTAATGTATATGTGTGTGAATTTTTCGTTTTTGATATCAATAAATTTATAAAAGTCTCGAGTTTTGATAAGATTCAGAAAATAATGAATATTCACAAGTAGTTTCAAATAATATGCTTAAAATAGAAACACAACCCATTATATGATTTATCTGTTAACTATTAAATCAAGCCCCAGTATTTGTGTAATAATCAGGTAGAATGTGATATATACACTACACCTGTCAGGTACAGGTGACAGGTAGGTCTGGGCGATAAGACCCGGATCAGAAATGTACACTGAATATTGATGATGTTTGTTTTATCAATATCTGCATATCAACGATTGATTACTATTTAAATAATCCAATACAACTAGATAGGATGAGATCTTCATATATAAACAAAAAGACAGGAAAGTACAGTTTGAGTGGCTACCTGTGTAAACTAACCGCACTTAGCTAAATTATTTCCACAAGCATATAAATATCTATCACATGCAGGTGATAGTTATATTTCATTAAGGTCCATGCAAAACACATTCTTGAAAACGCGTGGGACTACCCTTCTCTCATCTTCCAGACCTGTTGTCTTCAAAATGCATACACCATGAGCACAGTATATTTGAAAGGGGTTCTAAAATTTAAAATAAACCCGACATAATTTCATATGGTGTCCTTTAAATTAGTCTAAGGACGCGTGTTTCTGTAGCTATACAGACTAGAGGAACGTAATACATGTAGATCGAAAAGCAATTATGGTAGACTATCTGGAACACTTGGCCCCATTTTTTGATTCCAATGGGCAGTGGGAAAACTTTGTACAAACCAATATGAATGCTCACATACTGAGTTTTATGTACATGTTTCCAGCATGTAAAAGTTAATATATGTATAGCTACCTGTAAGCTTTTAATTATTTCTTTTCCTTGTTGGGAAATTTATCGTTTCTTTTCAGTTTAGAACTTGTCAAACAAAAATTTACTTACCATACTTTACACGTTTATGTTATATAATTGGATGCAGATACAATGTTCTTATAAGATTTCAGCGAGGGCATCTTTGTATTCCTTGTTTAGCATTTGACAGTTTGAATCAATTTAACATCATGATGTTATTGTTACAGTTTTGTTTACCACATTTTGATTTATCACAAATAAATGATACATGGAGTACATGCGGTACATCTTGTTCGTGACATGATATACCGATGCATTTTAATAGCTGAGTATATATCAATACCAATAACCATTGGAGTTGACCTTGACCGTTTAAGGAGGCTAGATCGTCAACATATTTTCATTCTTTTGGAATTTTATATCACTAATTAATTTCTAATTCATTTTTATCATAAAAAAAATCCCAACACCAAGTGGTTCACCAAACCATTTGTTCCAAACTGAGCAAGTTCCGTTGAATTCTTTAAAATCCATATATTGCCATCTCTCATCTTGGTCAGACAAGGGTGTCCTATAGCCCCTTTGTTATATGTATTACAAACAGAGTCGTCGACTTGTGCCCAAATTCAAAAAATGAAGATCAATAATCCTTAATCCTAAATCATGACTTTAATATTTTGAATGCAAAGATGAACTTTAATTTAATTTTGAATTAAATTTGAACGCATTAATAAACTATGAACGCAAAGATGGACAAATGAAATTACTATGTACAGCAATTGAAATGTTCATTTTTGTATTAACAGGGTATGTGAAGAATGGTTACAGAGAGGGAGACAAAGTCGTCATAGTGTTCTGTGCTGAATACAATAGTATAGCAAGTCAACGTAAGTAAAGTGTGCGGTATTGGCAAAGTGATCCTTGCCGAATACTATCGCACATTAAGTTAACGCAAGCAGAGCAGTACAGGTTACATTCCGTACTAAATTTAAACAAAAGCTTAACAAACTAGTATGAAATAAGTCACCCAAAACACTATCCATTAATAGGTTATTTTTGCTTATAAGGTAATCATGGCCAAAAAATTGCGAAATGCTGACTATAAACGAGGTTGTTGAAATCCTGCAACATCAACTTATGTGTGAGTAGACTGCCTCGATTTAAAATCTGATCGAATTCAGAGTAAACTCTTGATTAGCAAAAATCGGATGATGGAAAAGCTGGTTATCTCGTTTTTCCTACAATTTAGTAGTTAATTGACCCTTATCGTCTATAGTAAGTAAAATATCCATATAAGAAACAGGTGTGGCAGACTTTGCACTGTCTTTTATTTCAAAATCTCTAGAATATATCGAGTCAACAATGGAACTAACGGAGTTTGTTCATTGTTAATGTCGTCGATATATTTGAATGTCCAGATGAAGGCCACGGCAAGTGTTTTCTTCTTCACATGTAAAAGTTTAATAAATTCTCTTCGTAGGATCATAAAACAGGTAGGATTATAAAGGAGCACAACGATTGCCCATTAGAAAATCAAGCATCGTACTATAATTAAACTAAGCGGAAGCCTGAAGCCGCGAAGGCCATGATTTCAACAGATAACAAGTAGAGCTTTTTTAAAAAGCTTCCCGTCTTTAGCAACAATCTTAAACTGTAAACTGATCTACACCTATCAGGCCGAATAATTCTTTTGAATTTCTTGATTTTGTATTTCTACATTAGCTTTTTACTGGCATTAGCCCTAGCACGGTTGTCGCTCGGTCATCTCCGTAAACTTTGACTCGCCGAGAGCTTTCGGCAAACCTCGGCTGATTCCAATTCCTTCAAACATATAATAAGGGGAAAAGAATAATAACAAATTGTAAAGCCTGCAAGCAATAAAAATCAAATTTTATTTACAATGAATTTAAAGAGATCTTTTTATTTTTTGCTATACAAAAAATAATGTTATCAGGAATTAATTACTGCTGATTTTGTTGTTCGTTTTGTCATTTTTTTTTTAAGATTGAAAATCTTGCAAAATTGTTAAGTCGTACGAAAATTAGATCATCAGAAAGTTATCTCCCTTGCCTTGAACAGCATTTCAACCAATGAAATAATTGAAAATTTTCTCATCATGCATTTTCTACCAATCACAAAAGAGAGGAAGTGCATAGTCCGAAGACTGTAAAAAACTTCAACTATACAATACCGTCTTCCAAGGAAGACGGTAATAATGTTGGCTGTATGTATATAACACCAGCAAAAGAAGTATAGCATTGTTCACCGCAAGTCAGACTATAAACTTAATTAATATGAGTAAATAAATCTTATGAATTTGAATGAAACGTTTCGTTACGTTATGACTGTGCTGTTATAAGAGTTTATTCCTTATACATGTAATATCAAAATGGAATTCCATCACGAAACCGTTCCCTAGATCTCATAAATGCTATTTGGTTTTTTTTTTTTTAAATACTGTAAATAATGGAAACTTTGAAAAAAGAACTTTAACAGTATTTCACATTTTCTATTTAGCAGTATAATTTTCCTGCTATGTACAGTGTATAAGGATAAATGATATATGAATAATCTCACCTGTAGGTATGGTATATTAAAAGTGTCACAGTAAATGTATTTTTTTCACACACAGCACTAACGCTGATGTCTGTCGACAAAAACCTAATAACGAACTTAATAGACGGTGAGGAGAAGAAAGTTAGAGACCTAGCCTCCAAGTTTGAATCCCTGGTTCTCAAATACAAGGTAAATCATCGTCTTCATGTCACTGTTTAGTTCTGTCTAGAATGTTAAATTCATTATTATATTTTGTGACTTTAAAGGGCCACAATATGTTTATGAGAAGATACTTGTAGTTTGGTTTTGTCTGGAATGTTCAATTATTCATCAATATTATATTTTGTAAATGAACGGCATATTCATTGGTCTGTTATTTCTATGGCTGTATATATAAAGGCCCACAATGTATTTATGATAAGATACTTGTATTTGATACATTATAAAAACTGTGTATTTCTTTGCAAAGATTTATCCCTGTTGTATGCGTTTGTTTTCTTTAACATATACACTGAATCATTTAAAGCTTTGATGTTGAATCTTGATTAAAATTTAAAAGTTTGCATTTAAGCCCTTTTAATTTAGGTATTTCTTATAAAATCCGTCCCCTTGGGCTTAAGCTGAAGAACCATGCATAAAATTGTGTGTAGTTTTGCACATGAATTAAAACGACAATATCAAAGGTTTTATAATGATAAATCAAAGTTTTACTATAAAAAAGAATTGTTATTATGAACTTCAGATTCTTATATTTTATGTTCTCAAATGCATACATAAGTGCACATTTTATCAAAGTTTTTACTATAGTTAACTATAGTAAACTAGAAAATTTTAAGTGAAAATGCAAAGGTTTTGTCACCGCAAAAATGTACGTAGGTTCAATTCTTTTTCTGTTATTGAAAATAATGATTTCTCCTCCTGACAGGGACTTAAACACGGAAGAAACTGTACAAAGTATTTTTATTGGGAGTCTTTAAATTGAACCTTGTATATAATTGTCAGTATCTTCCATTGTACCAATCTTTAATTCAATTGTATATATCCTCAAGTCATTATACCTACAATGTATTTTTAATTCAGTTTTACATATTTACGATTGAATTGAAGTTATGTATAATTCCATTGAATTTAAGTATAATTTATTTGAACCTATGTTCAATTATTTAGAGATAGGTTTAATTATTTACGCCTATCTTTAATTTAATTTTTGTCTATCTTTAATCCATTTGAAGAATACCGATTATACCTATCTTCAAATGAATTAAAGATAGGCATAATTGAATTAAACCTATCTTTAATATATTTTAAGATCGATGCAATTGATTTGAAGATAGTTACAAGTAATTGAATATATGTTAATCTGGCGTTCCATACATTCCGGGGGATTAATAGGAAAATGGTGTGAATATTCTTTGTACATTATGGATTTTATGAAACATTTTAAACCTTTTAAGGAATGGAATCTCGATGCTTAGATTTCATTATGTAATAAGTTTTTGGAGTTGCAATTTGTGCTCAGATTAAAATTCTAGTATTTTGGCAAATCCTTTTAAAAGAAGTGGTCATTCCTGTAAGGGTCAAATCTGCAGCTTTTAATTTTGTGTTGAAAAATTTTTATAGGTACACCAAATTAGCATTTAACACCCATATGTATTTACAACTAGTCTGAACAGTAAAAATGGAGATACTCTGCGAGTTCTCTTTCTTTGTGGTTTGTTGATGTCGATCATTGCTTTTCATTATAATCGTTGGTGTTGGTCGATAGCTATTAGTTGCATACTTCTAGAAGGCACTTGTTCTCAATTTTTTTTCTGGTTCTCGATTTGTATCGTTTACTTACTTTACTAGTATATAATTTCTGATAATAATCACTTTTCGTTACGTCTTCTTTGTAGATAGAAGGTAAAATTGTTCGAGTCAATGGAGAACCAGGACCTGGTATAGTGAAGGTGGCAGAAGAGGAGAAGGCGGCCATGATTATTACAGGGACACGTGGTCTCGGTAAAATCCGGCGGAAGTTGCTCGGTAGTGTTAGTGAGTACATTCTACATCACTCTCCAGTTCCGGTAATGGTGTGTCGGCAGAAAGAATGAACAGAGACTGAAAGAAATCCACTGCTTTAAATATGAATTTTTATAGA